ACCATCGTTACGACCAACAGTTTCCATTACTTTTCTTTCGAGGGATTTGCGAGATGAAAATGTTTGCTCCCAGCCCCTAGGAATTTTACAGGAATTGTACAGGGCGATTCAAAAACGAATCACACGATATTCTATATTTTTGAAGATTGTTATCTGTATCGTGGGTTAAAAATCCTCAAAGTGTGCCATGGTTTGTGAGTGGCCCTGTAGAGCACGAGCAGAAGAACAGTGTATAAAGCTGTCTTTGTAACGTTCATACGATTAAATAATGTGGAGGTATATACGTTTGTGCTCGTCGAGAATGAAATACCAGTGTTGGATGAAAATTCTTCCGTCTGCAATGTAGGTATTTCAGGCAACAGATTTTTGCCCGTTCTTTCAACCCTCGTATTTCGTTTCGTTCCCCTCATCGTTCGTAACGGAACAGACGCGTCCCTCAAACGGTTGCTCCATTTTTTGAAATTACAATGGAGCCGAGTACGATCGATCCGGTCCACTGTGTAATCGCGCATAAATCGAGCAATCCTCTTTAATTACGTCCCGCGTAAGAAGACTTCGGGCACCGTGGATTTACATATTCCGAGGCAGACGAGATCGCGTTTCCTGGTCCATCGAGAGATTCGCCTTCGCCTTGGGACACGATGCAAATTGACTTTTTATATGCCCGCCACCGGGGATTAAGAAGACGGAATAATTTGTAATTAATTAGCGCGCGCAGGCCTGTCTATTTATTCTTTCCTTCCTTGGATCGTTGTCCCGCCGAATGAAATAATTAGAGGGGACTGTAGGAGAAAGAGTTTCGTGAAATTTTTATACGAATTCCTGGCCAACATTCAGTGTAACAATGGACTGTATGTTAATTTATGCAGTTGTAAATTCACGTGAATATTCCAGCCTCATATATCGACCGAGGAGTGTTGGTGTACGATAAAACAAATTGACCCAGAATTTGATTTTAAAGTAAAATATCCTTCAGGCAACTGCAGGTATCTTAAAACATTTTTTTCAGAATTTTTGTTTCTTCTTTAAGAATTTTTTTAAACACGATGAAACTTTCAATGGTAATTTTTAATCATGAGACCTTAATCCACACTGTTCAAACTTTTTCTCAGAAGTTTCTGCGACTTAAAATTGTTCCGATGTGAAATTCTCTGGTATTGTGGATAATCGTCTGTTGTTTCGACACAAGCATGTCAAAAGACAAGATTATTGATACTTCTGTAATTGCTCTTGATGTACCAATAAGTAATCCACTATTTCGTTTTAATAAAGTCGTTACAGAATTCTGATTTAAAATCTTTTTCTACCCTTTTCTTCCGTCAAAATGGTGGCGAACATTGATAAATGAGGACAAATATCACCTGGCACGGTGCAAGCTACCAATTTCCTCGAAGATAAGTGTATTTAATCTGACAAAATACAGTGGATCACTTATTGGTACACCTAATATCATAGAATAGTATAGAAGATGAAAATTAGAGTCGTGTATACCGATACCTGGGTCCCGTTTTACCTGGTCTAACTAGCAAGGGGGAACTGTGCATTTGCATACGGGGGAATTTGCATATTTCCGAGCCACTTGCCGGGGCCAACAGCCTAAAATCAAGCTTTTTCTTCTTCTTTTCGTTCTCTTTCTTTCGGCCGATTGAAGCGCAGCCACTTTAAGTTCCCGTCGTCCGGTGCACGCGGAACGATCGGGCTCTCGCCGAGGCTTTAATGTTAATGCGTTTTCGTGTCAGCCCCGAGAATTACCTTGTTCGACAACGAAATCATCAAGTGTACTCCGTCAAATTTTCTGTATACCGTTTCGCTGCTTCGTAAACGATTCCTACGCGGTGCCCTTTTATCGAACCGACAGGAAAAAAGACGAATCTCTTGAAAACTTTGTCGTTTCTATTTTTTTTTTAAATGTTCCTTGACGATGACGGTCGAATGACAATCTAGAAATCATTGTAAATGCATCACGGCAATGGATAAGATCGATAAAGGGGATTGGTTCGAAATTAATGGGTTTGAATAGTTTACGAGACTTAAATTAGCTTTATCTATCCAGTATTTATGCGGGTCTGAAAGCAACGAGTGGGCTTGTGTATATTGAGAATAATGAGTCTGATTCGTTTGTTGAATAAATTCATTGTAATCGTGTCGTGAACAAGACTATCTGTGATTCATGAGTACTGTTAACGTCGAAGAAATACTTAATGACTCAGTATTAATTATATTGTCGATGGACATTATAGCTTGTATTGGCAGATCGTCGATACTCTGTTTTCTGTTGAAACTTTAATACACTGGGTTGTATACAGCTTTCAAGTATCTATTAGAATACATATTAAACAGATACTAAAGTTAACGTTAAAAAATAATAAAAAATGAAACAAATCGAAAAGGTGGTAATTTTCTTGCCTGTTATTGTAAGAACTAGGCTAGTTGAAACGACAACCTACGAACAACCCTACTAATTTAATTCGACCAGCTATCCAAAATAAATCAGCTTCAACAATATATTTATTTTTGTATTCGTAAACCATTCAATTTATATTTTCAACCTTGTCCGAACCAAAGCACAGAAAATATCATTTCACTCCTCTCACGAAACAAATTACACTGACCGAAAGAGAAAATAATGGTAACAAGCAGACGAGGTAAAACTACACGAGCCCCCACCCCCGTTTTAATTTCCAACCCCATCGTTACCATAGTGTTTCGACTCACGTTTCCACGTCCAGGAGAATAAATCTCCGCCCGTTCAGGAATTTTTCGATCTTCCAGGGCCCACTCGAGGGTCCCTCCCCCAGGTTACCGTAAAATTAGGCCCAGCCGACAGACAGTTCAGGAAGGGAAAATTCGGGCGCACAATGACCACGCCACCGTAACTTTTTCCCGGGTGTTTATTGCCTGGTGTCTCTGGGTCACTGGGTGCACGCATTTTCACGCGGCCACACCGCTACCCATCGCAATAAATTTCCCGAATTTACGATCGACCAAGGTCAGCCATAAACCGGCCACTCGGTAGCCGAGCGAAATTTTTGTAGGGGGGTGAATTTCGCGTTGGAAAGTCGGAAGGAACTGGAGGTCTTCTCATACCGACGCCGATTGTTGATCAGTTAAGTGTAGCAATCTGTAATGTTTTATTGTGGTTAAAAGGAGATAAGAAGTGTAAAAGTAGTAATTACATCTGAAACAAACGCTTTAATAACAGAATGAGTAATCACATTTCGACTTCAAAGAATAGAAGCTTCCTGAAGTAATTGCACGTAACAGAATAATCGTACCCAGGAGGGAATTAAGTGCCAAAAGGTATTTCCCACGTTATCGATAACTAAATTCCCTGCTTTTTCGGTGCCACCAGATGCCACTTTATAAAGTACCCGGATGGCGGTATAATTTCCACGCCCCGGACTGATCATTCTCCACAGTTTCACGATCCTCCTTGTTCACCACGATTATCGTCCTCCTCGTCGTTCAGGAACGATTCTAAAGGGAGGGCATCCACTGGCGTTTAATTCGCCGGTTAACGAACAGACTCGAATTAGTGGCCGGTAGCGAGGAATTTTATGGAAAATTTGAACCTGGATAATTAAACGTTTGACAGGGACCTGAATGCGCAACCATGCAATTTTGTTGCCGAAATACCAAGCGTTATTCCGGGAGAAAGTCGTAATGAGTATACGCCGATTGCAAAGTGCCACATTAATGGCGACCGGGTGTAAGTATACATACATGGTGGACCACGAAACGTGGATCAGCTTAGATCATTCTATAGCTAGCTGTTTGATGGAATATTTTTTTAAGATGATTGCGTCAAATTTTTTTATCAACCCGTTCTTTCAAGAGTTTTCAAAATCACATTTTGTTTTTTTTTATAGATAAACCTATAATTTTTTTACGCTCATCTTTTAGCAGATACTGAGACGAATTCGACAAGTATCGTAACAAATCATTTTTTTTTCTTCTAAACCAAAGAAACATTACACTTGTTTTGGCTAAGTGCAATATGACGAGTCTAACTCGTCGTTCGAGTTAAGAGAATATTTAACATGTACATTTTTGTTCATTTCAGAGTAGTTGTTTTTGTTTTGCAATTCTAATTACCTGGGGTTAAACCGACTGCTTAGTTTTATTTATGACGATCTATACCGATGGTTAAGCATTTAAAAAATTGTTCGATCGAACAGCTAGCAGTAGAATAATCTAAGTTGATCACGTTTATATGGTCCACCTTGTATACTCAGGCCACCGGTTAATACGATCTGCTGCTTTTTGTACGTTTCAATTTCGATGAACGATCAGGAAGGTGGGGAGAACCCCGAGGAACCGCTGACAACCGCAAGGAATCTTGTTAACCATTCTTGATGGATATCTGTGCATCTTTCTTCTTCCACGTGGCTCCCATTTCTCTGTCTCTGTTCCTCATGTTTCGAACGCGTGTTCCGGTACTTGTACACATGCCAATTTCCATCCTCCACGCGGTTCATTTCACATTCCATCATCGATGAGTCCCCGCTGGTTTTTATGGCTACATTAAAAAAAACGTTACCGCCTCCCTCGTTTCCTCGAGATTGTTTAATGAACGCTGCTGTTGCTACTTTGTCGGCTGATGGATTGATCACGGAGTTGCGGGCCTGACGAGTGATATTAAAAAGGAACACGTGTTCGGGAGGGGAGAATTTTTGAAGACAGTTTTTAACGGATCGTCTTTCTTGAACGAATACAAAAATTTGGTACGTAACTTGCTAAGGAAAAAATTACTTTATTATTACTTTGATACATACTTTACTGGCGGCAGGGTTTTTGCGTTTGCACATGTACAACGGGGGGGGTTCTAAAATATTTTGAAACTATTACTTAACTTTTATTTCTCAGACTTACATATTTTTTTTACCATTTTAGTTCTTATTTAACAAAGACGTACTATTATGTTATCTGACATCAAAGTGTTAATACGTCGATGTACAGTGAAATTCAAATACTTTAACAGGTTTTTTTCTGTTTGGTAGGACACCATGATGGACTGCGGGGCCGACGGAGGAGGAGGGCTCGAAGACCTCGTCGTTTTGGCCACCGACGTCGCGGATTCGTCTCCAACGATTCGAGGTAATTAGAGACCTTCACCTTTTCTCTCGGCTATGGATGAACCCCTTATTTTCAACAGATTACGGGAGGTAAAGGTTAAATCGAGATGTCAGGGGTGCGGTTAATTGGGGGTTGAACAGAGCTTTGCTTAAAGAGTCTGTTAGATCTGCGATTTTTATAATTTTGTTTCTCCATTTGTACCTTGAAAATGTAGTTCAGGGAATGTATTTTTCGTTTGTTAGCACTGAATGTATCGAAAAGAAAAGGAAAATGGATGTAAAAAATATCTTTTGGAACAAAATGAATTTGAAAATCCAGGTACCCGTGTGTCCTCCCATGGAATAATGTTACTCTGTCATCTGTAGATAAATTCAGCTCTGTAACTTTTATTTTAAAGAATTAGCAAATTTAACTATTTATCCCTACGTTATATTCACTTTTTTAGGGGCAAATTAAGTTGAAAAAATGAATCACATTATTCTGTGTATGCACTCAAGTAGAATGGTCTCCCATTAACAACTTAAGACTTCGTTCGAATATAATCTCTCAAGGTGCTCGGAACAATTTCCAGAAACGATTCTACTCGCTCGTTGCATCCGAATTTCACAAGAATTTCGTTCTTTCCACCCCCAACCTCCCCAAAAACATTATCTTCGAGACCTTGTCTCGCGAAGTCAGCCAGCGAATAGCAATTCAAATGATCCCAGCCCCATTTCCGCTCGAAACTACCCTCTTGTTTCGCGTCCCTCGCCCACTTGCCCCGCGGGTATGTACCACGTTTTATTTACCCGTTAATTAGATCGTCGCCGGGGGCCGACCTGTATCAAGGGAGCACATTCCGCGTGTAACGAGACAGAATAACTCTGTGTCTGTATAGGAAGGAGGTGGAAAAACAATTAACCCCTCCAACTGGATTGTCGTACACGTGTATGTCAGTATAAAGTCATTACTTGTTGGAAATCAAATAACTGTATAAAATTGATGTCACTTGTTTTATTAATATGCCTTAAAAATTTGATATTAATCGTAGAAGGAGAGGAGGTGGTTTAAATATAGACTGACACTTTTATACTTCAGAAACGGAGTTGGGCAAAATTTTAAGAGAGTGATTCTGAACTTTCAACAGTTAACGAGATTAACTAATAACTTGCTAAATGTTTGTAAATAAAATACACTACGAAACAACGACTCTAATTAAATTATCTAAATTAATTATTGATTGTGCCATAAATTCACCAGTGCAAAACTATCTACCGACTTTAGGGGTTAAAGGAACACAAACGTGTGGTTCGACATCGTGGTACTTCGGGGCCTGGAAATTGGGGAAATGCAATTACCAGGGGCCCCTGAACTTACGGCCAGAAAAGTCGAATATTTTGCTCCCTAATATAACCGGAGACGAGACAGAATTATTATTTAAGGCAGAGAGAAAAACCTCTTTGTCACGGACGGGGCCTTTCACTTTGTGTTGGCTCCTCTCCGCCGAGAGAAACCGCTCTCGCCAGGTAGCGCGTTATAAACGTGTCATTAAAAATGGTGAACGGAGTCCCTGGGATTATTTCCAGGGAAAACGGGAACAACCCGAGAAAACGTCTTCACTATGCGGAAAACGCGCGGTGTTTACAGAATCTGGGGGCGGAGAGAATGATTCTTCGGGGATAATCCTGATATTGATCGAGGGGCGAAAGAGTAATTGGGGGCTTTTTACAGGGGCTTCTGAATCGGTCGAACGGCGAATGTTTTAATGGGGTGACTTCGGAGATTTTTCTTGCAGGTGTATGGGAACCATTTGAATTCTGGTGTTTCTTGGTGAAAATTAAAAAATGTTACGGTTTCACGTGTATGATTTATTGCATTTTTCTAATTTTTGACTGAAGCTATTCTTGTGATTTCTTTTGGTGACAACGTAGGGGATAAAACGAGATTAAAATGAATTGTGATTGTAGACGGTAATTTTTACATATTATATGAATTATATTATCTTATGACTATACTGTAGATTTTTATAAAAAATGCAGGATGAAATATTTTTCCCTCAACATTTCTGCATCTCACCATCACGATAACAACCTCGACACACGAAACAGTCCATAAACCAGCCGGGAACAATCCCCTAAAAAATTCATCCAGACCCTCTCGCGAAATAAACTCCATTCCCCGCATCCAATTCTCCGTGAGTCGTTACAAAAACGCAAAGAATAGCGAGGATCTGTTCAAAGCCCGTGGTTAGAACCACACACACCCTTGAATCCTCGCGATTTCCCTGGAGGAACGCATCGCCAAAGAAAAACTCGTTTACGAATAGGGTGACCTGTCCAGTGCGTGTATGAATTATATATAAAAACGAGTAAATTGAGTTATTAAAATAAGCATATGATAAAAAGGTTAAATATTGATTTTTTTCAATGCCTTGTTTCATATCGAAACAATTTTCACGCCACTAGTTAGAAGTGTACATTTACTTATTGTTCATTCACTGACAAAATCTCTAATTTTCTTTCTAATTCAATTGATTACATTTTTTTAATTCTTCTAAATGAAATCTATACGTTGAAAAAAAAGTACAGTTATTCCTCGACTCACGACATTTCGCACTTACGACCGTAAAAAAACTTCTTACTTTTGCCTCCCTTATTGCCTCCTACTACTTTGTATCGGGAATTACGAAAATTTATGCCAAATTAAAATTCTACTTACCATTTCTTTCAGTATTTGAAATAAATTGATCAATCGGTAGGAGGCCCTTACCTATATATATAGATATTAAGCACTGTAATTTTCAAGAGTCAAATATTCAATAATAATATCATAAAAAATTCGACTTTAATCTAAAATCTGCAAAATAATCATTCATCGCTCCGTTCACTCTCATTATTCAGAGACAGTTATTTACCAAAGGGTGGTTGCCAAATGACAACCAGCTTCCGTGTTCCCCCGTCCGGTCGAAGGGAGTCAATGCTCTCTCAGTGCACTCCAACGAGAACACACGGAGACATAAATGAAAAGAGAGAAAGATGACAGAACGAACAAAAAAAAAAAGAAAACAAAACGAAGGGGGCGGAGGAACGAAGGTAATTTCTTCGGTCGAGGCGGATTCCACGCGAGTGTGTGTCTCAGGGCCCATGTCAGAGGCGCGATCGTCCCTTTGGATCCATGTAATTACGTCCTCTCGGGGGATACCACTCGGCCCCGTCTCTCGATGACTTCACGACAAAGTATAACCCTCGGTTTTACCACTTTATAATCAACGAGCACTCCCGCGATCATCCCTCCCCATCCGCGATTCGCGGTGTCCGCTTAGACGCCTCGCGAGTAATCGCTCCTAATTACCCGGTCCTTTCGTTCCCCAGGACCTGTCTTTCACCTTCGAAAACCTCCTTTTCTCATCCCCTCCTCTCAGGGGACGACGTCGAAATTTTCGGTCACGCGATATCCCCAGGCAAAAGGCATCGATCCCCCTGGCGAATCGATCACGCCTCTGCCTCACCTCTCTCCTTCTCTCGATCTTTTCACCGGTTTGCGAATCACGTTACCCGTCGTGCTTCTTTTAAAATTCTTCCGAGTCGCCCGGAATGATCGCGTTTAATTGCCTGTACGTTCCTTCGGATCGATCCTTCTGCCCGATCGATAATTCCAATGGGGCCTCCGGGATTGAGATTGAAGCTCGTCGAGTGTTTTTAATTGGCTCGGCCGGTGATTACGCTCGGTCTTCGGTTTGATTCGAACTGCGACACCGGTTTCTTCTCTGTACGACCGGAGGACAGCTGTTATGGCGTTTGACTCTACCCTTTGCTGGGTTTAGGTTGTTTTTTTTTTAGACGGTCGATCCTTTAGTCGATTTTTAGTCTATGAGTGGGTTGGGTGGTTTAAGTGGGGATTAAAAGCCGCAAATCAAAAAATATTCGACCAATATTCCTTAACATCATCTTCACAGCATGAGCCTACATTTATAATTTTATTGTTTCAATACATCATATTTTTTTATTTGACAAAAGTTACCTATTTTTTTCAAAAAATGTTTCACTTTTCCAAAAGAAAGTGGACACTATATATGTTTGCTAAATCCAGGTTCAATTTTAGCCGCGTGTTTTTAAGACTATAAGGCACTGAAAAGTGTGAAAAATAAAATATTTCGTCTCTTCGGAAATCTTTTTAAGAATACAGAATATATAAGAAGATTTTTATTTCCTCGTCAGTATTTCGAACGTATAGACGGACTAAGGTTAAACTCTCTTCAGTCCTGAATCTGATCCCAAAGGAAGCTTCCGTCAAAGCAGTCGTATTCGCAAGAATTCTTAAAAATTAAATAAATTACTCCAACATTTTCCAATTCTCAAAAGAAATATCCAACAAGGGGATTCTTTTGACTGGAACACCACCAGGATTCCGATGTCGGAACAGCGCCTCTTTACTGCGAAAATGTCCGTCGTAACGGAGAAAATATCCTCGTAAAATGTTATTCCTCCGCGTCCTTAAGAAGTCAGAGCTAACACAGAAGCTCCTTATACATCCCGTGAAGGAGTTATCTCGGGCAGGATCGATCGAGAGATTACGTAAAAGTCGCTCGGGAATAAATCCTACGGGAGAGAGCATCTTCTACGGAATCAGAGTAGGGATCGATCGGGACGCTGCTGGATATCTTGGAATACGGGAAAAACGGCACCCGTCTGTTTGTCCGAAACGGGATTTAAGGATAGATCGTAAATCGGCGGGTTCGATCGGCATACGGGTCCTTTCTATTATTCAAATCGTGGCGCAGTGGTCCAGAATCAAAATTTAGCAGCTTGTACACACTTATCTACTATTATTTTTTTATCTTTTGAGCAATCAAAAAATTTGTAACTCATAATTTTATTTACATAGAAGTAGATAAATAATAAATATTTTAGGTGGGAGAATGGCTAGGTAAAGTAGATAAGAAGAAAAAAAGAAACGGTGAGGGGGAGTGTTATAATATTGTAAAAGTAGAGTAAAAGCCAAAGAGAAAAGGAAGTTCAATAGGCAGGAATAAAATTATATTT